GGAGTCCTGTAGCTCAGTGGTTAGAGCACTCACTTTGCAAGCGAGACACCTGGTTTCAATTCCCGGCAGGGTAAACCTTGGACAAGTTTCCTTACTCCACATGCCTGATAATAATCCCTCAAAAAAATCCCACAATAATAAATTAGTAATTTCAATCTACAACTGTTTGTGGGACAGTTCCAATCTACAACTGTTTGTGGGATAATTGCTGTGCGCAATTGGCTGTCGCGTTTCGTCCACAAATATACAGTCAATTCACTTTATAGTCTATTCTGTGAAGCGCTTTGAGACGTCGAGAAGATGTGAAAAGCGCTATATCAAATGCAAGGATTATTATTATATTATGACCAAATGTAGGGATATTATTAATATTATTACTAATCACTGCCAACACCTGTACACTGATAACACCTGTATATTGACAACACACATACACAGTTTACACCTGTATACTGTAAATGTCTATACACTGTTGACACCCAAACATTGTTAACACCTGTTTAATGGCAGCATAGATACACTGTTAACATCTATACACTCTCAAAAAATAATTGGTTTGAAGTCAGCTACTGGAAGATGCCTGTAACACTGTATCCCTGTAGAAGACAAAAAGTAGCACAATGTCTTCAAATGGGAGGAGAGGATGTCTGGTTTTAAGTTGGAGAGTATGAGTGATTACTGCCTGGTTTTACCAGCCATCTGTATTTCCTGGTTGTTTAATGACAAATATAAGAATGGAAGGAGACCATTAAGCCTGTGGAGCCTGTTCCAGTTTATTGGACCATGATGGATCTTTCAAACCTAATTTTCCTGCCTTTTCTCCATAACCTTATTTTCCCCAGTAACCATCTATCTCCCTTTTAAGTATCCCAATTGATCCTGTTTACACCACTTTCCAGGTAAATGTATTCTACATTTTTACAAACATCAGTGTAAAGAAATAATAATAATAATAATCCTTGCATTTAATAATGGCACTTTATCATATCATCAAAGTGTCTCAAAGGATTTCACTGGACGGTGTCCTAAATGTACATTTGCAGGCAAACATGGCAGCCAATATGAGCATAGCAATCTCCCACAAGGAGCCATGAATTGAATGATCAATTTTATCTAGGAATTGTTGGCTAGGACACCCAGAAGAAGTTCTCTTCTCTTTCCAAATAGTGCCATGGGATCTTTAACACCATCTTGAATGGGCAGACAGGTCCTAGTTTTAACATTTCCTCCAAAGGACAACACTTCCAACAATGCAGAACTCACCCAGCACTTCATTGGAACATCTGCGGAGACCATAAGATCAAAGTTCTGGCATGAAATGTGGGGTTTGAATCTACAAGCTTCTGACTCAGGGGATAAATAAGATTGTTACCAACTTAGCCAGGCTGACACCTGTTTTCTAATTGTATACCTTCAGGCGCTGACAGCATCACCATCCATGGTTGCACACTCCACCTTGCTAAGCCAGTCCGGAACCTTGTTTGACCCTCAACTATCCTTTCTACCCCACATCTGCGCCATGACCTACTCTGCCTTCCCCCACCTCCGCAACATTGCCCGGCTCTGCCACTGCCTCTCACTGCAGGCCACCAAACCCTTCGTACACGCTTTCATTACATCGAGGCTCGACTATGAAAATTCACTGCTTGTCGGCCTCCCCAACTCCTCCCTTCACAGGCTGCAGATCATGCACAACTCTGCAGCCCATGTCCTCTCCATACGAGGCTCTGCAACCTTATCACCCCCATCCTTGTCCAACTCTACCGGCTTCCCATCACACAGAGGATACAGTTCAAGATCCTGGTCCTCACCTTCAAAGCCCTCCATGGTCTTGCTCCCCCCTACCTCTCCAATCTCCTAACCCCCTACCACCCTGTTCGTTCCCTCTGCTCAGTGGGCTCCGGTCTGCTTCATGTCCCCGCCTTGCTCGCCCCACTATTGGCGGGCGGGCCTTCCGCCACTCTGCACCCACCCTCTGGAACTCCATCCCGCAGTCCCTCCGTCTCGCCCCCTCCCTTGCCACCGTGAAGATCCACCTCAAGACCTTCCTCTTTGACCGTGCTTTCAATCTCCCTGCTTATTATTATTATTATATATTCCCCCCCCTGCCCTCCCCCCTCCCCCACCCCGACCCTCAGCTTGGGTCGGTAACTCTCTCTGTCCAGCGCCTTGGGATGTCCTCCCAATGTGAAAGGCGCTTTACAAATGTAATTTTGTTGTTGTTAAGATTCTGGCCCTTGTTCTGAATCTCACTAACAGTGGAAAGAGTTGTCTACTATTTAGATTGTCAGTTCCCTTCTTTGTTTTAAAATTGTACAATACAAACAATGACAGGCTCATGATAAAGCCAAAAGCTAACTCTGAGCTCCCTACATCAATGGTACTGATGACAGGTTACAGGTGCCCATACCTTTTGGACATCTTTCCCCTCCCCTTCCCTACCCCCTTCTGCTCCCAGCCGCAGCATGCATTGTCAAGTCCATTGAGACGTCCTCCTGCCCTAAAAGGTTCCATATAAATTTCAATTGTATTGCATTCATTGAGAAAATCATCACAATGTCAAGACCCCTGCTTTAAACCACATCAGTAATTTCAAACAATTTGTTAAAAACAACCTTAACATTTGATAATTAAATCATGTTAAATTCAGACATATAAGCTGCCATTTCATTTCTGTGTTGCAGGTTGTTGCAATTGATGTAGATATGGCCTTTTTTGAACCCAAAATGCGTAACATCCTCGAACAAAATTGCACAGCAGATGAAGACTGTAATTTTTTTGACTGTTTCTCTAGGTGTAATACAAAGACGAATAAATGTACAGCAGAGCGTTCAAATAGTAACCTACAGGTCAGTGAATTCTCTTTCAAATGAATAAACATTTTGTCTTTATTCGCTATCCATCTGTTAAGATAACCTTAAACTGCATGTGGATCTATCAGCACTGGTTCACAGTGTTTTGTTCTCACAATTAGGAATACCTTCTGAATATCAATTTGCAGGTCCTAGTTCTCTCTTGTTCATTTTGCTATTGCTTATTGGCTTCTAGATATTATCTACCCACCACACCATGTGTGTTCTTCTCCTTGTCTCCCTTCTTATCATGCTTTATGTTCCTGGAGTGCCTTGTGCCTCACACATTTTCATTTCATAGATACTGTATTGTTATACTGTAGAAAATAGAAATTAAACTACTAAGCTCAGCACAGCAAAATAGATTCCTGTGAAGAGACAACATAAAAAAGAATCAATTCTAAGTTAAGAAGAAATCACTTATGCTGTAAAAATATCCTGCAGCAATGATAGTCAAATATGAGAAACATACTAACCATGCCACACGTGCAGTTTGTAATACAGTTATTTCTGTAAACTCATTGCTTTCTTTTAAAATAATAATAATCTTTGCATTTGATACGGTGCCTTATCACATCTTCGAGACGTTTCAAAGCGTTTCACAGAATATAATGTAAAGTGAATTGACTATATATTTTGTGGGCGAAATGCTGCATCCAATTGCACCAGTAATGTCCCACAAACAGTCATGGATTGAGTGACCAAACTACTCGTATGATATTTGAAGAAATTATTAGTCCCCTGGAAAAGTGATCTGCCAATCGACTAACAACTAGGTTCCTACTTACTCCCAGGTGAACAGAGGCATGTGGAGAAACAGGTCCTCTCGCTTGCGAGGCAAATGCTCTAACCACTAAGCTGTAGGACTCCACGTAGCTCTACATTCAGACATTATAAAGTAGTACATCATATGTCAGGATATTTTAATAATATCCCTACTTTTGATAAACTTCATAATGTAGAATGTGTCAATGCACTTCACAGTATCTACTGTCAAGTAACATAACCATGTATCTTTGGCAAATGTGGCAAATGTCTTGCTTACATTATTGTGGAGTTCTGTAGCTCAGTGGTTAGAGCACTCACCTCGCAAGCGAGAGACCTGGGTTCAATTCCCAGCAGGGTGAAATATTGGGCAAGTTTCCTTACTCCACACGTTTACCTAACAGTAAATAGGAACCCGGGTGTCAGTCGATTGGCAGATCGCTTTTCCAGGGGTAATACTAATTCCTTCAAAAAAAAAAATAATTTGGTCATTCAATCCATGACGGTTTGTGGGACACTGCTGTGTGCAATTGGGTGTCATGTTTTGCCCACAGAGTATACAGTCAATTCACTTTGCAGTATATTCTGTGAAGCGCTTTGAGACCACTCAAAGACATGATAAGGTGCTATATCAAATATAAGGATTGTTATTATTGTGTCAAGAGTGCAGTTTACTATGAATCATTAACTCTCTAACATTGTTTTTTGGTCAAGTGGAAAGTTTACGTGAAGACGATGGTAACATTTCATAAATGGACACAGTGATCTTCGGCTGCCTCATTCAGAGCACATTGTTGACTACAATTTATGCAAATCCATAGGATCAAAATGCATTTCATTGCAAATCCATTCCCTTTTGAGTAATGAGTGGAGAATAATTTATATTGTGTTTTCATAAAGAGATTCCACAGTAATAAAATAATTGGGGGGCCTGACGTACTAGAATTCCTATGACTGTACTTTTCATGTTAAAATAATACTCTTTTGTATTATAATACAATATTCTTCACAAGCTGCAACTCATCCAAAACTCCAATGCCCACATCCTCAGATGCACCAAACTCCACATGCCCATCATTCTTGTCCTCGCCAGTCTCCTTTGGCTCCCTGATTCGCAGTGGATCAATTTCAAGATCCTCACCCTGATCTATAAATCCATCCACACCCTGACATTTCCTTATCTCTCCAATGTTCTCTTACCCTACTCCTCCACACTTGACCTCCGATCCTCTACCCAAGGCTTGCAGTGCATTCCCACCCTCACCGTGCCATTATTGGTGAGTGAGCCTTTAATTCCTACGACCGAATCTTTGGATTCCCTCCTTCCCTCTTCTCTTCAGCTCACCCCTCTATTTCGTTCTTGAAGTCTCAGCTCAAAACCTACCTCTTTGAACATGCCTACAGTCACCTCCCCATTCTCCCTTGCTCGTTGTCCAACTCCGTTCATGTTCAGTGCTCCAAGACATTAGTTATCCTATGTGATTGGGCGCTATATCAATGCAACTTGTTGTCAATCTTCACCATCTCTTAAAGGGAAAAGAATGTGTTGAACTTCTTCCCCCACCTCATTTATAAAAAGAATCCTACACCATGTGATGTCAGACACTACCTTTGGCTCATTTTTCAAAATCATTGCATTACCAATGATTTATGGTAACATTTTGAATTATAGGGATAAATGACATGACATTTTATAACTGGTTTGACTTCTATGAAGTCAATGGGACGTCCTCCTGATGTGAAAGGCGCTTTATAAATGGAATCTTGTTGTTGTTGTTGTTGTATGAGGCTTTCCTACCAACCTCATTCCATTGATTCACTGGGGGATAGGACCCTTCCTTGCAGGTGATGCTTTCTTACTTTCATCAATTGAAATAAGATCTGCATCACCAAAACAAAACTCTGCTGCTCTCAACTGCCTCCCTTACATGAGGCATCTCCATCAGCATATTAAGCCAGAGGGCAGATAATACTACTAACCAGGCAGTATAGGGAGAGGGATAATTTTGCAGATATCATGGCACAAGCCTGAAGCTGTCCAAGGTGGGTTTCTGGGGTCTGGTTGATCTGATCTGGCCCAAATTGCAACCATGTAATGGGGCTCACACAGTGCTGTCCACAGATCTCAAAGTAACAGGTATGTCAATTTGTGTAAAACTGGCTCCTTCCAAAGTCCAGTGGAGATTTGGAAGGAGTCAGTCAGTTCACTGTCCATCGGTGCATTGAACAAGTTACCTTTTCCTTAAACTATTAGTAGTTTCTAATTGTGGCCTGTAACTATGAAACTATTGCCGGCCTCGGATCTAAAGACTGATTTGATCTCTTGTTTTTTCACAGGTTATTTGTGATAAAATTTTCCGTCCCTTATTTATCTCAAAGCTGAGTGAACTTAGGATGTATCACCCACTGCAATCTCAGCTGCGTAATGCAGTGCTGAGGTGTTCTGAGTTGTCCATCCATGGCGTTACAGACAAGAAAACGATGGAGGTTACATTCTTGGAGCTGTATGATTTGCTCAAGGCCTGGCAGAGATAAATGTGACATTATACCATAAATTGACTATTAAGCAGGCGAAAGAACTGACCTTTGGAATTGAACCTTGAGCCCTTGTGCATTGTGATGGAGTGAACATTGTTCTGGAGAAGGACACGAACATCAGAAGCAACTCCAGGTTCTTTTGAGTCCAAACAAACATCAAACCCAACTGAGGATCTCAAGTGACCTGAATTGACCCATTTCAGGTTACATTTTAATGCAGGTGTTTGTATAAATAGGGTTGGAGATTACCATGAACAGCTGAGACATATATATTTTACAACACACACTTCAGTCTTGAGGTCAAAGTGTAAACAGTTAATACATGACTTATAGTATTTTTCCTACAGATTTTTTTTTAGAAATTGAAGCATTTTGATTCACGTTGTTCAAAACAGCGATAATCTTTTACAATAAATATATTTCTTGAGGCCCACTTCTCATTGGTTATTTCTACTTTTGTTGTCAACACTGCACTTCACAGTGCAGCTCAATGATTCTGTTGTAGTGGTTCACTTTTGCTGCTGTAAATAGAAAGTGATTTTTACTGAGAAAGAATAACATTTTATTTCAATTTCGAAATATCCAAACGGAGAATGAGACAGATTGACAATAAGTGCTCGCAACTCTGTATACTGATCTCCAGTGAGCCTCTTGTAATACTTGTGAAACTATTAACGGTCCCACATCAATTTGCTTTGTTGCTGTATAAAGTAGCTTCTATGCAAAGTATTGTTACGTGTTTGTGGCTGACTTCAGTTTAGCGATGCCCTTTGTAGCTGCTTCATTTTCTGGAAAGTACACTCACTACCTCTTTCCATTTGCACCCAAAATTAAACATTATCACGGGTACAGTATATACTTCAAATAATATTTCTGGAGATTTTCGATCTTTAAAAAGCAAACACTGAAAATTCCTTGTAATTTCCATGTGCTTTTGTCAGAATATGGTACTTAAAAACAACTATTGTATGCATGCAGACTTTATTTTCCTCCTTGTAATTAGATTGGTCCGACTTTAATGTCTGTGGGAGCTCTGACTATTAGTATCATAACTCATTCAGATGAAGAGAGAACACAATGAGGTTTCATGTACTGGAGATTTCTCCCAGGCATTCTGAACATTCTCTGGCCGTTGCTAGGATTTTTTAATTGCTAAACCTATATTGTGTGCCAAACTAACTGGAGCACACACTGACAGCCAGACAGGAGGAAACAAAGCACAGCACACAAGTGTTGCGTCCCAGAGCAAAGAGTAAGATATTGCCTTATTATGAAGTAGAATCATAAGACTTTACAACACGGAAGGAAGTTAACCTGTCCATCGTATCTGTGCTGGTTTATCAAGACTATTTATCAAGACCCCTTTCAAATGCCTTTATGGACTCAGCCAGAACAACATTTGTGGTAAGGTATTCTAAAAACCTCAATTATTAACAATATTTTCTGGGCTAAACTGGAGACGAAGGGAATTTTGCTTGTTTTCTAAAGATTCAGCATTGAAAATAATTATTACATCAAACAAAACCTCTCTAAAGGACAATACCCTGTAGGCCTCAAGAATGGAAACCCAATACAATGGCAGATTGAGTTTGAAAACTGGATTGCGGCAATAATGGATCTTTGTTAGATCTTTAAGGCTTCTAATTTTGGAATCATGAACAGGTGGAAACAGCTTGCAAACTTCCACCCCATTCAATATTAGTTCACAATGATCACTGCTAATTAGCGGTGACGTTAATTAACGTACAATTCGCGAACATCACAAAAATCACTCGGTGCGCAAAGAGACTCTGTGCTGAATCTCGCTTGCTGCACTGGCTGAACATATTAACTTAACTGTAACACAAGCAGCAGCTGTTGTGCTTCCACGCCCCCCATCCCCTCCCACCCACCCCCACCGTCTAACCTGTTTCTGCTGGAAACTAATAACATAAAACAGTTATTTGGACACATGGGAATATAAATAAGAATTTTATATGCGTTACCATGCTGAGGGCATCTAGTATAACTGGGACAGCTCCAATAATCTGCCCATATGGATTCAATATACAACGTGTTTCATTATAACCAAAACATAAAACCTACAGCAGACATTATGCATTGTAGTGCCAAGTATCTTGCAAAGGTCAATAAGATGCTTTGGAATTTAAAGTGTAGGAGAGAGATAATTATCTACATCTACACTAGTCCAGATTAGTCCCATTGCAGATATGCAAACAGTGCAGATAATTGGACATCATGCAAATTGGCTACAGTGCTGAAACATTGATACATCAGGTTATAATGTCATGAATATACTGCACTGTGCCAACCCTTTTTCTCTGATGCCCTCCCACTAACTTTTTCTTTCTCCTTCCAAATCTCTAACTTTCTATCTCTCACTACGACTTTATGTCTACTACATTTTCTTACATGGGTCATGCTTACTTTTCCACTACAAGCAAAAAAAAAAGATCCAGTGTCCACATGAATGAAGTTGTGAACATGTATGCAAGGTTACGAGGGAAGCAATGTAGTCATGCTGTCAGGGAAAATTACTTTCCTAGTAACCTCACACAGTTACGTGACTAAATGCTTTGGCTAGTATCTTGTGACCTCACATCCACTATGCTTCAGAACCCAGTGAAGATTACTGGACACGTGGATAATTGGCAAGCAGGTAAGCAGTGTTCTACTGTAAGGCATTAACTATTGTGATTTAGTACAACATACAATTTTATAATTACAGAGACAATTGAAGGTGGGTAAAAACACTATAACAGAAGAGGGAAGTTATGACCAATGACCTATTTTATGAGTAGATGGCCTACTGTCAGCTGATGTACTTGGTCTAAACATTTTGGGAAAAGCACACTTCAGAAGTTCTGAAGTTCAGAAATAAAATTAAAACGAGAAGTGACTGTTACCATTATGCCCCTTGAACCAAAAGCTTATATTCTAAATGTAGACAATCAGATGATTGAAAAACAGTCTGTTTAAAGTTGCTGTAGTTTTCAATGGATCAACAGATAGCAGGATTGATGCAATTTATATCCCCACATTTATACTGGAGTGAGTGTAAATTGCACTACTCTTGAAAATACGTTCTCTGGATGGTATTGGGAGGAGGCTCCAGTGTAATTAATGTTGAATTTTCCCCTGTTCACACCAGGGGGAGAACTTATGGGAACCAAAGAGCCAAAGGATTAAGAGTAGAAGGAAATGTATGTTCTTTTTGGGTGGTTCAATAGCGGAGACATTTTCTGTGGACAGCGCTCAGTGATGCTGACACTGTACAGCAAGTGGTAAGAGTCACACCCATCACAGCCTGGCATGTAAGAGGTCCTCTGATGATATAGTTAAAGAGCTCAACAAGGTGATCACGCTTAGCAGTGTTTTTTCATTTCTAGACCCCGGGTTAATCAATGGAACCTAGATTTTATAAGGAAATGTGCAATATTCCTGCAACTGTTACACCCCTGCGACTATGTGGAGTCCTGTAGCTCAGTGGTTAGAGCACTCGCTTTGCAAGTGAGAGACCTGAGTTCAATTCCAGGCAGAGGGCGAAACCTTGGGCAAGTTTCCTTACTCCACACGCCTAATAATAATCCCTCCAAAACCCAAAACAATAATAAAATTGGTCATTTTCAATCCATGACTGTTTGTGGGACATTGCTGTGCGCAATTGGCTGCCGCGTTTCGCCCACAAATATACAGTCAATTCACTTTACAGTATATTCTGTGTAGCGCTTTGGGACGTCCTCCCGACGTGAAAAGCGCTATATCAAATGCAAGGATTATTATTATTATTATTATGACTTGCTCCAACCACCCATGTCAATCGCTGCCCAAAAGGGAAAGCTGCAAAAACTTTGCAGATAATTAGTTGAGGGTAATTGCAGATTTTATTGTAATTACAGGCTTTATTGTAATTACAGGCATCATTGCCCTATTTTAAGGATAGGTACACAACATTTGACCCCAGTAGGCAGTTTTTAACAGTACATTATTGTAATGACTTGAGATCACTGTTACATTGTATTCCACTTACAGCCAGACTGCTAAATGTTTTCCTGCTGATACAAGCATATGCCGAGCAAATCAAATGCTTGTCTTGTATAACTATCTTGGGAGTGTACATGGCATGGAATTAGGTTTGAGTCACAGATGAACAAGTGATCCATTTCCACCATTACATTTAATTCCTCTTGTTATATATAACCATCTGTTATATACAACCATGTTATACACAGATGTAATACACAAAAATGTTAAATAGAAATTATAGATACAACCATCCTTTATACATTTATACATGCATTTAAGAGGAAGCTAGATAATCACATGAGGGTGAGGGAATATCAAGTTTTGGGAGTGAATAAATCCGGGTCAGAATAAATCTTCACTTAGAAGAATATGGGTTAATTAGGGACAGCCGGCACGGATTTGTTAAAGGCAAATCTTGTCTAACATATCTAATAGAATTTTTCGATTAGGTAACAGAGAGGGTGGATAAAGGTAGTGCAGTTGATGTAGTTTATATGGAGTTTCAAAAGGCATTTGACAAAGTGCCACATGAAAGACTTGTGAGAAAGATAGAAGCCCATGGTATAAAAGGGACAGTGGCAGCATGGATCCAGAACTGGCTGGGAGACAGAAAGCAGAGAGTTGTGGTGAACGGCTGCTTTTCTGATTGGAGGGAAGTGTACAGTAGCGTCCCCCAGGGATCGATATTAGGATCACTGCTCTTCTTAATATACATAAATGATCTGGACTTGGGTATAGCAAGTGCCATTTTCAAGTTTGCGGACTACACAAAGTTGGATAGGGTAGTAAACAGTGAGAAAGATAGTAGCCAACTGCAGGAAGACGTAGACAGAATGGTAAAATGGGCAGACACATGGCAGATGAATTTCAATGTGGAGAAATGAGAGGTAATGCATTTTGGTAGAAAGAATGAGGGGAGGCAATATAGGCTGGTAATACAATCTTAAGGGGGTAAAAGAACAGAGAGACCTGGGGGTTCAGGTAAATGAATCCTTGAAGGTGGCAGGACAGGTAGATAAAGCTGTAAAAATGGCATATGAGATATTAGGCTTTATAAATAGGGGCATAGAGTACAAGAGTCAGGAGGTTATGATTAACCTATATAAAACACTGGTTAGGCCTCAGTTAGAATAGTGCGCCAGTTCTGGGCACCACACTATAGGAAGGATGTTAAGGCATTGGAAAGGGTGCAGAGGAGATTTATGAGGATGGTACCAGGAATGAGGGACCTTGATTATGAGGAAAGGCTGGAGAGGCTGGGATTATTCTCATTGGAGCAGAGAAGGTTACGAGGAGACCTAATAGAGGTCTTCAAAATCATGAGGGGATTTGATAGGATGGAAAGGGAAAATCTGTTTCCACTGGTGGGTGTGTCGGTGACTCGAGGTCACAGAATCAAAATA